TGATAATATGTATTTGGGTTATACTGGTTTGGCCTATGCCGCTGGCAATCCTGATAGGTTGTATGTGACTGCCAACACTTGGAACGGCGTCTTTGGTTTCGAACGCATTCCCTATGGTACCGGTTGGAAGACTCTTGGTTGGGTTGCCGGTTCTCAAGTTAGTCTACCAAACAACTTGCTCATCAAGGGTATTCCTTATGATAGTCCAGAGGGTCTCAACAAACCCACGAGCATCCGTTATTTGGCACCTTATATGTACATTCGTGTTGACACTGGTGTCACTGCTTGGTTGCCATACTCTTATCAGGCCTCGAAAATGTACGTCAACCTCGGCATCCCTGGTACTGAAGGTTTCACTGTCACGCCTGATAATTATCTCTACTACAGGAATGGTGAGGATGCTGTTTATAGGAAGCCTTTGAACGATCCAATTTCTGATGGTGAATTGTATGCTGGTGGATGTGGTTGTGGTATGAACGACAATCAAATATGTACGGCTAATAAGGGTAACTTGGTCAACTTCGTGCCAACTAACGGACAGGTTGTTATGCAGGATTACAACACTCAAGTTGACTTCCGTTTCCTTGGTTGGTGTCAATGCCCATCTGTGACTACGGGTTTACCGGTCACTACGGCTGAGACCACCACTGCTGCTGTTGAGACTACCACCACTGCTGCTGTTGAGACTACCACCACTGCTGCTGTTGAGACTACCACCACTGCTGCTGTTGAGACTACCACCACTGCTGCTGTTGAGACCACCACCACTGCTGCTGTTGAGACTACCACCACTGCTGCTGTTGAGACTACCACCACTGCTGCTGTCGAGACCACCACTGCTGCCGTTGAGACTACCACCACTGCTGCTGTTGAGACTACCACCACTGCTGCTGTTGAGACTACCACCACTGCTGCTGTTGAGACCACCACCACTGCTGCTGTTGAGACTACCACAACTGCTGCTGTTGAGACCACCACCACTGCTGCTGTCGAGACCACCACCACTGCTGCTGTTGAGACGACTACAAGCGGCGAAGGTTCACTCACCTGCGATGCTTATTGTTCATCGATAACAGCGGGTAGCTACTGTAAGTACTGGACAACCCCAAGTACATGCTTCGGTAACAACATGCCATGCTCTTGTGGTTCGGCCTCTACTACTAGCGGAATCCCCGCCCACACAACGACTGTCCCCGTTACTCACCAACCAGAAACTACCACTTTGGCGGCTTCTACGGGTAGTCCGAGTCACACCACTGAGTCTGCAGCGACCACTACCACCTCGGCAGTCCGGACCACTACTGCTGAGGCCGAAGTCACTACTGCTGCAAGCTCAGATTCGTGTGCAGCTGGCGATGCCTATTGTGATTCTGTATGGAGCGGAACTTACTGTAAATCGTGGAAGCACCCGAGTGTCTGTTCGGAGACCAATCTGCCATGCAGTTGCGATGAGGAAGTTCCCACCACTACTAAGGGTTCTCATCAGACAACCGAGTCCCCTCAGACCAGTGCTGACCATACTCCAAGTGTAACTACATCTTCTCTTCAATGCGATGCTTTCTGTAACTCTCTTGAGGCTGGGAGTTACTGCAAGTACTGGGAAATGCCCAGCATCTGCTCTGGCACCAATATTCCGTGCGATTGCATTTGAATCGACTGACCGCCAATTTTGTGACTGTTGTTCGTTCCGTGTCGTATTGTAGGCCATCTGATGTCTGCCGACATTCAGGAAAGCAACATTTCCGATTTTTACCCCCGAGTTGTGCCCAGGTACAATGACATCTTTTTGTGACATCTGAGTCCTTGTGTTGCATAGTAACGTCGCTTGTAGCCAGTTCGATGCGGTAGTTCAATCATTCAGACTTTTGACATCGGCTCGGCCGATTCGGCCGGGCCGAAGCGCTCCATACAGCTGAATCGGCTGTATTGAGCACTCAGACGTCACGATGCGAAAGCATCTCTTTCACCCAACGAGAACATGTACAGTATGCACATCAGGGAGATCGCAGGGTCCGGCGTGACGGGCCATCTACAGAGACAGATTTTCTATTCGTGGTAACCTCCATTAGCGAAAGCAGAGTTGATTTGATATATGCTCATACCACAGCCATCTTGGTGCTTTCAGCAGTTCAATTTATCCGTTGGTAGTCAACGAAATAGGTGGATGAACAATCACTGCGGAGATAGCACCGTCCCCTGACGGCAGCGGACCTGCACGGTGCACCTCTCCATCCGGTCTTCCCAATAGTAGCCAATTCAATAGTAATCCCGAACCGAGCGGTTGATTCATTCTTAGTTGAGACATCAGACTACTCGGACCGAGTAGGGTAAAAGACGTTTCATCGAGAGACCATGGGCGCCTTGCATGATTTGAGACTCGGATGTTAAGATCGGAGCAGGACGACAAGTATTCATATCCCAAATAGAGTAGCTCTGGTGGCTCAATCGGATAGAGCGTTGGACTTCTAATCCAAAGGTTGCGGGTTCAAGTCCCGCCCAGAGTAATGTATATCCATGTGAATTGGTGCACGATTTTCTTGTGTTGACCAGTATGGACTACGCTTCCTAACTGTGTCATTCGCGAGGGATGACGACGGAATGTGATGACGATCTACACTGTGACTCAATGTTGGTTCATGACGATTTACACACTACTCACGAAACATCAATAACTTCATTGAAATCTTTAAAATCTCATGGAGAAACTCGACTGCCTCTTTTCAAGTCGACTTCTAGACCATCTCTTTCTTCTTCGCACACCCCGACTCCCCGCTTGAGTTGGTGTTGTTAGCACTGAACTGCTTCATATCCCGAAGCCTGCAAAGATCATTCCATATCGACTGTTTGAGGTGACTGCAATTCAAATGATAAATAGGGAGAGTATTGCGCAGAGATCATGTTCAGCAATATTCATAACAATTCCAGACACCCTCGATGTCGATCAAGCGGAATGAACACGCATGTGTGCGAAAATATGCACATGATCAACTAGATGTGTAGGTGACATTTGTGAAAATCCTGAGAAAAATTGAGGAAATTCTCTTTGGTTTCTGTACACTTCTGCCCAAATTTGTATGTAAACTTCTATAATTAGTTAGGAAACTCCTGGACTCAGCTGAGGAAAGCGAACATATATTCCAACACTGCCAAGAACTAGCGTACGTCCGATAACCATCCATTTTCAAATAGAGGCGCCTCCAACTCTCCCTACAAACACGATGTTACATAATGCGAGTCCGACCAAGGTTGCGCGTGAAATAAAGTATCAGATATCGATATGGTAAACAATACGGATCGGAAGCGGCAATTGTAAATACCCTGCCTCTTCACTGGACGCAGAACGGCCCTCTCCGAGTTGAACTCTCTGCCGTCGACGTGCTTCAGCTGAGGCACACAAGGCAAGGTGAACACCGAACAGAGTGGCCCTCAAAGTTCGTGAATCACCTCTCCCCTGTGTTTTCTCCTCTATTGAGGGCCGCCAACAGTGGTTGTCACTAACTGAATGGAGAGGCTCGATTCGGGTCTGATGAAAGCTATAATCGACTACACGGCAGATCTGAAAATTTTCTCAAGAATTTCAGAAAAAAATAAGCTAAACAGAGAAGTCCCCGGTTCGAGCCCCGCATGCGGTATTCTCTCATCATTGAAAATATTCCCGTCATTTCCTGAACACTAGAAGATATACTATTCAGTAACAACTGCCTACACTTGACGTTACGATGGTGCGACTATACAACTTCAAAGTCGCAGACCTTCGCCGTACTCGAAGACGACGAGAAGTGGAATTCGCCTCCGTTCAGGAAATGTAATTGGTTAGGGGGCGTGCGGATACTGGGTCAGAGGCAAAGCACGTTGGAGTCATTGGTGAACAAACATACGAATAGGATTCACATGAAGGGAATATGTCGCATAAAATAGCAGATATGGACTACATTACGTAACATCAGCTCTGGTGGCTCAATCGGATAGAGCGTTGGACTTCTAATCCAAAGGTTGCGGGTTCAAGTCCCGCCCAGAGTAATTAATGCTCACCATTCTCTCGCTCCCGTCTGATAGTAGTCGCTCCCTCGCTTCTTCCACAATCTGAGACGCTTCAGCACTAGGGACTTGCCCGGGCATCTCCGACCGGAAATCCAACGCCTGAGAAATCGTTGAGCAACCCCAAGGTCCTCCAAGATCCCTACCGCCGATCTCTCTCGGCTCAGCTCAGTAGTACTCAACGTATTGATGTTCGGCGGGGAAGATATGAATCGATTGTTACCGAGAGGGTTCTTATTCGGTCCTGACGTGGGAGGCGTTCGCACATCACTAAGTGATCTCATACAACGTAGCCATCATATCGTCCCACTGCATAGCGTGTTAAATTCACACTGTGAATCGTAAGTATGTGGCTAGGCGTAGAATCTTACGCTGGACGTATGAGTTAGAGACTTCTAATAATCAATGCGCCTATAGTTTCAGACTGTTATTGCGCTTTTACAGTAACAGGTAACTCAGAAGAAGGGATCATATGATATGCTCCCTATCTTCGAAGGCGAACAGTTTACAAGTCCTAGCCCAACATTGTTGAATACCGTACGGTATGTTCTCATGTTTTTCTCACCTGGCGCTAGTGCTGGCATGTTCACGCCCGGGACGAAACCAGCGATTCTGTTTCCTCGTTTCACACCATGCATGTGACTAAAGATTCGGTGGATCCTCATCAATATTAAACTGAGAACAAACCCACTCAGCGTCTAGTTTATCAAGAATGTGGTCCGCTTCTATCTGGAAGCTTCTCGATTTCTGTCCGAGCATATCCTACAAGATAGGACACAGTCGTCGTTCTACTCTGATCGTGCAGTTCTGGCCCCATACCCGAGAGGTCCCTGGTTCAGATCTCGCCAACAGCATGCTCTGGTCTCCCTCATATTCGTCCGAATCACCATCAACAAGTAGGTCATTCTTCAACGCTGCACTCAGCGACTTCAAGGCGGCCTCTACCTGCGCGACACCGGTCTAGGAGTACAGCCAGCACCAGCGTCTACCTCCGAGGCCCGCATCAAATTCGCATCATCGACGGAGTGACGGAGACGCTCGATTTCCGACATCCCATTAGGCAGCGATGATGGGTACCAGAGATTGCCCCTACTGCTATTCGATACCACACGCCGACCTACTCTGAATCTTCAAAGTGGACAGCCGCTTTAGCTCGCTGATTAGGCCCTGTATGTGGCAAGACCCCCAAGGCTCTGTCGATGCTATCGACCTGCCGAATGTAAATTTGTTAATTGAAATTCCCACAGTGAAATCCCGAAGACCCCATCGCGATAACAACAGCGTGACGACTTTTGAGGAGCTTTTCCGGTTTCCCTCGACAGATAACAAGAGATCAACAATCGCTACTGTGTACGCCGAGATTAAACTCAGAATACGGTCATTCATCAGAGCAACCAAACGAGAAAATTCAGAAGCTAGTATTGCTAGTATACTATCAATTGCTATAGTATATTAGCCCACTGCTTGCATAAGAGTGACATATGCTGAAAGTATGAAAGTGTGTAATGAGAATTTGTGAGAGAAATTTGAGAATGTAATTTTTTCACGCACGATTATAGTATTCGGGTGGCTAATATTCCCACCTCATTCGTAGGCAAGTCCTTCCTTCCGCGCGATGGAGGGGGCACCATCTCCGCCTGAGAAGGTCGTCGGTTCGATCCCTACCTCCGGCATTTTTCTCACTCCAAATCTGTCCATCGACTGAGAGGCTTCGTCTGTGAGATGGTATTTCTCCCTTGAGACGCTACCGAACGGCGACAATCTGAAACAGTGTTGATGACAATATGAAAATTTTAGGAAATTCTTGTTGGTTTCTTTGCACTTCTACCATAATTCGTATGTAAACTATACAATTAACGAGGAAACTGCTGAGCTGAGCTGAAAAAAGCGAACATATATTCCAGTACTAGTCTAAAACCGCTGAACGCAAACTCACCTTGCTGCCCAAGATGATGACGAGAAAGATAAAGGCGCCACCGGCGGAGGCTGCTGCTGACCACGACAGGTTGCATCGCTCCGCTCTGGTGCTTCCGTGGTATCATCAACAGACTCCCGCCCCTCCGTCGCTGTAGCAAGGACTCTTTCCTCAACCATCACTCCCATCGGTCGTGTCTTGGCTACTTCAGAGAACCTATACCATAAATTGGATAAATTATGGTTGGTGAGTGATTGAGAACATCGTACCATCTCGAGTGGCGTCGTGCTTTTACGATCAGAGTATAAAACGTTTATCGTAAGCTGGCGAAGTGACGGTCACTGAAAATCTCTATTGTGAAAAAAATACAAAAATTTAATTCTAAAAATCAAAAAAAAATATAAAAAATTTCATCGCAACCGACCGCATCGTGCCAACCACAGTATATTCTTCAGCACGAAAGCGACGCTACCAACAACAGCTTTCTTGGAA